TTGAAACTGTTTGATGTTATTCCTAAGTGGAATGTGGTTGCTTGGACTAGTTTGGTTTCCGGGTTGGTAAACAATAAAAGGGCAAGTGAGGCTATAAAGGCTTTTAGAGATATGGAAAGTTGGGGTGTAGAGCCTAATGAGATTACAATAGTGAATGTTTTGGTTGCTTGTGCTCGAACTCGGGATGTAGATACCGGAAAATGGGTTCACAATCGCCTTGCCCGTCTAGGGCATGATCCCTTCACTTTGAGTGATAATTTTAATATAATTCTTGCTACTGCCATTGTGGATATGTATGCAAAATGTGGCAGCTTAGAAATTGCAAGGAATCTGTTCAATAAAATGCCTCAAAGAAACTTGGTTGCTTGGAATTCCCTGATCGGCGCATATAACCTGCATGGCCGGGCTGAGGAAAGCGTTAATCTCTTTGTTGATATGCAGATTGCCAGGTTTGTCCCAGATCAAGCTTCCTTTTTGGGTGTGATAGGTGCCTGTGCCAGTCTGGGGGTTTCGACTTTGGGACAATGTCTTCATGCTTGCATATTGAAAACCAGCATGAGCAAAGATCTTTCCATAGGGACTTCTTTAGTAGACATGTATGCCAAAACTGGAGATTTGGAAAGTGCTCGGAAGATTTTCGACAATTTGCGGAAAAAGGATGTTAAAGCATGGACTAGCATGATCTTAGGCTTGGCTATACATGGTCACGGTGTGGAAGCTCTTGGGACTTCCAAAAGCATGCAAGAAGATGCTACTGTTGTTCCTGACCATATCACGTATGCTGGGATTTTGGTTGCTTGCAGCCATGTTGGTCTGGTTGACGAGGGTTGGAGACACTTCAACGAGATGAGAGAGGTCTATGGCATTGCTCCAAATCAATATCACTATGGTTGCATGGTTGATCTTTTGAGCAGAGCAGGTCGGTTCGAAGAGGCGATGAGACTAGTGGAGGAAATGCCATTTGAACCAAATATCACCATCTGGGGTGCTGTTTTAAATGGATGTGAGATACATGAAAATGTTGATCTAGCAGATAGAATCAGAACTCATATAACTGAGTTGGAGCCTCAGGGTAGTGGGGTTTATGTGCTTCTTTCTAATATTTATGCCAGGGCTGGGAAATGGCAAGAAGTGAAGATGGCTAGAGAATTAATGAAAGAAAGGAGTATTGAGAAAACTCTTGGGCATAGTTTAGTTGAGAGGAAGTTGTCAATTTAACACTGGTACTGAACAACTAAAAGTTTTGCTGACAGCAAAGTAAACAAGCACCAAGGCATGCATAAACTTGCTTAAAAAATGTTTTCTTCTTGTGCTTTAATTAGTTTAGCCAAATATATGTTGCCTGATTTACATGCAGATTGCAGATTCTTCAAAGAAATTTCAATGCAATTCTCTAGATACAGGCTTAACAGTCTGCCGTTCAAACATTGCAAGTCTTTCCCAAATTATCCTGTCAAAAGGACTTGTTTCCTCAAAATAGACAAAGCCCATTACTTTTTTTTTTTT